GACCTGACATTTCACAAGTTGTTGGAGTTATTAGCAGATATATGCATAATCCAGGAAAGGAGCATTGGCAAGCTATGAAGTGGATTCTACGGTATATTCATAATACTGTAGATGTTGGGTTAGTTTTTGAGCAGGAATGCAATCAGTCTATAGTTGGATACTGTGACTCAGATTTTGTGGGTGATCTGGACAAACGAAGATCAACTACTGGTTATATGTTTACTTTTGCAAAGGCACCAGTTAGTTGGAAGTCTACTTTGCAGTCAACAGTTGCTTTGTCTACAATATAGACAGAGTACATGGCTATTACAGAGGCTGTAAAGGAGGCAATTTGGCTTCAAGGATTGCTAAAGGAGCTTGGTGTTGAACAAAAAAGTATCACAATTTATTTGTGATAGTCAAAGTGTTATTCAATTAGCGAAGAACCAAGTTTATCGTGCGAGGACAAAGCACATTGATGTTCGGTATCATTTTGTACGAGAAATCATAGAAGAAGGTGGAGTCACGGTGAAAAAAATTCATACTACAGAGAATCATGCTGATATGCTGACAAAGGTGGTGACTGTGGTCAAGTTTCAACATTGTTTGGATTTGATCAACATTGTTGAACACTGAAGATTGAAGATGAAGACACAACCAAAATTTATTATTGAGAGAAAATTGAAGATGTGGAATTTTGTCAAGGTGGAGATTTGTTGATTGTCAAAAGTCCCACATCGGTGGGTGACAATTTGGGGTTGGGAATTTTTCCCTATAAAAGGAGGCCTAATGTTTAGGATTTAAACACACATCTCATTTGCTTTCTTATATTCATAAGACATTTGTATCTTCTCTCTTTTAGTATTATTTCACTTGTATTTTTGGAGTGGAATAAAATATTGGTTGTAGGAAGTAGGCAAAATTGGCCGAACCTCGTAAATTCTAGTGTTCTTTTTATTGTTGCTTTATTGTCTTATTTATCATTTGGTGGTTGCCATAATTTTTGGTATAGTAGTTGTGACTCATTCATATATATACATTTGGCTTCCGCAACAAGTGTTTGGTCTAACCTTACCTTGAGGGATTAGGATTGAGTCTTATTTGCTATGTGGTAATTATTGAGTACGACGTATAGGCATGTTGACGAGTATCTATGCGTTGGTGTCTAGCATGCCCGTGAGTCTTTATATTGTGATTATCATAACTTTGTTGTATCTTTCATTGAGGAGCGTTAGCTCAAGTTGTATAACGAATTGTGAAAGTGTAAGTGATAATTGAACCACTAGAGCATTGACTCGAGTTGTGAAGTGAAATGTGAAGTAAAAATGAGAAAGAGAAGAGATCATTATGTAGTCACCCTTGCCGGGCTATTATTGATTTATTTGTTATCTCCCTTGCCGGGATGTTGATATTATTGATGTTGTTCCCTTGCCGGGATTCTTATTACAAATTTTCTTTATTCCTTGCCCTATTTGCTTTGTGATTGTTGTTTGGGAGAGGAAGAGAGTTAAAGCACGAAGGGTGATGTCGTGCATTGTTTGTTTTGTTAGGAAAATGTAAAGCATGAAGGGTGACGTCGTGCATTGTTTGTTTTGTGAGGAAAGAGTGTAAAACATGAAAGGTGATGTCGTGCCGCACGATGTACCATTCCATGCCGATTATATTAATTATATGGTGAGGAAAGAGAGTAAAAGCACAAAGGGTGATGCCATGTACATTTTTATTATATGATTGCTTTGGTGAGGACGAGAGTAAAAGCACGAAGGGTGATGCCGTGCATTTGTTGATTTCTGATTCTTTGTTGGTATCCGAGTTATATTGTTTCTTTCATTACTTGATGTCTTTCTATTCGGAATTGTTATCTCCCCCCACAACATGCTCCCCCTCCCATATTGACTGATTATTTTTGTATTTCTTTCCACTGTATATGTATTTGAACTGCACAAGTTATTTGGTAGTCTGGTCCTAGCCTTGTCACTACTTCGCCGAGGTTAGGCTAGACACTTACCAGCACATGGGGTCGGTTGTGCTGATACTACACTCTGCACTTTGTGCAGCCGGAGTAGCTTTTAGACCGTAGTATGGAAGCTACCTTCAGTCCACGCGGAGATCCAAGGTAGATCTGCAGGCGTCCGCAGGCCCTGGCGTCTCCTCTATTCCTATTTCTTGTTTCATTTTTCCTTTTATTCAGAAACAGTGTATTGTCATTTTCTTCAGACTTTGTATGTAGTAAATCTTAGACCGTCTGTGACACCGTGACACCAGATTTTGGGTGCTTTAGGTTTTAAGAGTTGTAATAGATGTAGATTTCAGATATTTAATTGTTATCTTCCACTTAATTATTGAAGGTTCCGCTGTTTTTCATGTTATCGTCTTATATTTGTTAAAAAGAATAATTGGGTAATGAAGTAAGTAGTTAAATGATTGACTTGCCTAGCTCACATTAGTAGGCGCCATCACGATTCCCGAGATGCGGGTCGTGACAGTCATATGGTACTACATAAAATAAATACATACACTATTATTTTTCTTAAAACATCCATGCAAAAAATACATATATTTTCCTAACTTATAATTTTTCTAATCTCATATAAAGAGTAAAAATTCTCGTACGCTTAATTCTTAAAATGGTAAAAAAGATAATCTTCTTTTCTTGTGAGGAAATAATTTATATCTTTAATGTAAACATATATAATTTTTTAACCACAAAATTGTGGCTAATATAAATATTTAAAAAATTACTTCGTACTGTAGACAAAATTGCCACGCTTAGAAAGTGTGGCCATAGGAATTATTAATCTGGTATTGTTAACGATAAATGTTGCTCTAGAAGCCACACTTTAAAAGCGTAGTCTATAACGTGACAAAGATCACGCTTCAAATGTGTAGCCTTATGTCATAAAAGCGTGGCTGTATGAGAAAATATAAGTGTGGCCTTTGTACTGTATATGCCACATTTTTAAAGCGTGGCATCTAAGGCAACACCTATAAAGCATAGCCAATAGTCAAAGGTTACAGTACTTTAGGCCACCCCCAAAAAGTGTTGCCTAAAGCCATAAAGTGTTGCCTTTGACCAAATGCTATACTTCTTGGCATTTTAGGCCACACTTCTCAAGGGTGGTTGTAGGGCTAAAATGCTGTAGTGCAATAAGGAAAATCTCATAAACTTTCTTATATTTATGTATAATTTATTATATCCGAAAATAATAATAATAGTAACTATCCAAAATTATACTTATGAAACTTTTACTTAAATACTTCACTTAAATGAAAATACCACACTCCTAAATAATGTAATTGAAATATTTAAAAGGCACCATTAAAGCAATATCCACAAAAAAAAAAAAGTAGATGACAAGACAACTAATATAAGGGCTTCGAGTGATGACAGTCGCTATGTCAACTATTTGCACAAACATTTGATATGGATAAGTTAGCAAATGAGCTGATGTACTCACCTCCACTTACGATTGATAGATCTTGGGTTCGAGTCACCATGGAGGGGAAGTGTGAAAGCACTATAAATCTTCCTAATTTGAGAGGGGTTTAAAAAAAATGAGCTGTTGTACTGATTTAATGAGAAAGTATTATCTTATGGGGAGTAGTATATATTAAGTTGTATTCTATCCACAAGCAATTACTCAGGAGTGTAGAGACCGAGACTTAGGCAGAAAGCTTAATTATTATTCCCTCAAGCTTGGTTGGGGATTTGTCTATTATAAAGTGTACATATTTGGTAAGTGTATAATTACAGAATGAAATCCTAATCAAATCCCTACATCAAATCTCTAAAATCCTTAATCAAATAATCATAATTCTATACCAATCACATAATATCTCGTAATAGACATAATTCCACCGAACTCATGTGGATTTATTATGGCACATCCTAATGCTAAGGTACGGGATGTAATAATTTTATGGTCAAAACTCAAAAATATCATTTCTAGATTTTCTTTCAAAATCTCACAATTTTTATCAATTTTCATATTGAAATCTATAAATAATCTATGTATTTAACTCACAACGAGTGAAAATAATTTACGTTATGATAGATGATGAAAGTGGATCCTCCAAATCACCCAAAATCACCTTAGGAAGAAAGAAATGAGTTGAAATGAGCAAATTTCCGATTTGCTAACTTATATTCTGCCTAGGTCCTTCCACTTCACGATCGCGAAAATACCATCGCGATCGTGAAAGCCACATTGCCACCACTCGAATTGATTAAGTAACCTTTGGATGCACAATAAACTACCTTCACGGTATTGGATTTTTTTTATCTTTGACAAGGTGTAGTGTATAAGTTTTCTCGGATATTTCAAATGTTAAATGGTATCAACCGTTGAGTTTATATTTATAAAACTTTTTAAAGTAAGGTAAAATTTAAATAATGGCTTAAAATAAAAATACAGTAAAATTCTAATTGAGACCCAAGTAGTAGCACCGTGGAGTGGATTGAGGTGTGTGAAAGAGAGAAGAGAAAGATTAGAGCCTAAAATCGGAAAGATTGGAGCTTAATCTCTTATTGAATATACAATTAGTAAATATAGTTATGTTATGTGATTAAATGGAANACTTGCCAAAAATGAAAAGATTTTTTTAAAAAAAATCTATCCCTAGTGATGGGAGTATTTGGGGCCTGGGTCACGACTCAATTCCCACTATGGGCAGTGATGACATAATGTTACCGTTAGGCAAGTCAATAATAAATTAACATGCCGATCAATAGTTCATAACACATCTTGAAACAAGTGATGAAATAAATATTCATATTTGGGGGTAAATTCATTCACTTTTTTTTTCCTCAAAAAACGTTTACTAAGGTAGTTTTTGGTCATAGATTCCCAAATTTGTTTTGAAAAATCTAATTTGGGTGAAGTTTACTTTGAAGATGAAAATGTTTGGGCATTAGTTTTCAAAACATATTTCCCAAATTTATTTTGGAAAAACATGAAACATGACTTATACCTACAAGTTCTAAAAACTATCACAAATACCCAATAGTACCATTATCAATAATATTTATTATATTATCCCAAATCATAGTCCTGAACATAAATAAATTTGGTACAACATTCTCATTTTTATAATGATCTACATGATACATTATCAGATGAACGGGAAGATGAAGTAACATTGTTACAAAATAAAAAATAGTTGGTTCTTTTATAAAATACAAAAGTTTGGGACAATTTTTTAAAAATGTAATAGTGACATTTTGGCCCAAAACCAGCTATTTTTTGGATTTGGAATTTTGTCAAAATATAGGTAAAATCTATATCCAAACATGTGTTTGCCAATAAAACCCAAATTTATTTTGGCAAAATCTATGGCCAAACGGGTCCTAAAACTCTTTGACCCTCTAAGTTTGATGTATTTTACTTTCACGCAATTCACAAGGTTCGATATGGTGGTAAATGTACATATTGATTGATGCATCAAGGAACATATGTATCTACTTAATTACCGAGTATATGAGAGCCTTTAATCTGCGCTGAGGGCTTAAGCTCCAAGCATTCAAGTCTCTTTCAGTAATTAAAGAGAAAGCAGCACACAAAATTGTAGTACAGCTGCTATAAAACAGCATTACAATCAGCTCTGTCGGGTATTTCTTAAGGACAAATGCCTGCAATTGCAAAACATGAAACAAAGGAAAAATTGATCATTTCACTTTATTTTATTATCAAAGTCTATTAGGGAAAGCATATTTCTTAGCAATATTAATTAATTACCTGTGAAATGATAAATACTGAAGCAATTAGAGAGGTAATCATCATAAGCAAACCTCCAATTACCCAGGCAGAAGATTGGTTGAGTAGAAAATGAGAAGGAGCTGTTAATATTGAATTCAAATGGTTTCCAAAAACTTGAGGACCTTTATATAGAGTTGCAACAAGTGCACCTATTATTGATACCAAGGTCCCAACAGATTTAGCCACTGTGTTCAAACTCTTGTAGTCAAAGTTTTCCATCCTTAAAAAATAAAAAAATAAAAAAATAAAGATTGTGAAGAGCATTACAAAATTTGAATATTTATATAGAATTTGGACAAGTTTAATAGAATAGAAACATTGTAATTAAATGGTTTAAAGGAAAGGTGGGTTTTAAACCTGAGAATGACGGCAAGAATGAAGGTGAACCCTGGAATTAGTTGCAATATTGCTGTGGAAAGTAATGGAGAGGAATATTGAAGTCCAAGAATTCCAACAACTTGCATCAAGAAACTACAATATTGCACCATTAATTAGCCATTTCTTCTCTATAGTAATAGATTTGTTGAAATGAGGCACAAATTTACATACCCCATTAGGCCAAGCAAGAAAAATCCATAGAGAAAAGTTGGCCAAAGAGGTGGAAGAGCTGATCTGCATATACACAAAAAGAACAAATAAATAAAAAAGAGTATGAAACAAGAAGTTCATTTCCCGCAAAAATTAATTGAACTCGAAATGATTCATCAAACTATTACTTCAAAACATAGCATATAGTGTAACCCATTTGTCACGATACAACAATTAATGTAAGCAGAGGAAATGAAATTATGTAGAGAAAAGATACCTATGGAGGAGGAAGGAAAGTGGAATAAGAATGAGAGTTGAAAAGGCACTTGAGTAGAAAGTAAAAGTGAAAGGAGTCATCCCAGTTGACATAGCCACTTTTGCTGCCACCATAGATCCAACTTGTGCTAACTGCTGAACTACCATTGCCATCAATGGAACTGCACTTTCCATCTTCTTTCACCTCTCACTCTCACTCTCTCCTTTTGTTTTCTTTCGAAAGAGAAATAAAGCAACTAAAAATCAAATGAAACTCCAACAAACATGTTTCTTCCGATATTTCACATATATATATTTAAGGGTCAGTTGGCTTGGACCAATGGGTTTTTCTTGAAGGAATCAAAGAGTGAGGTTGAAATTCTAAACAAGGAATATCACAGTTTTTGTTGTTGTCCTTTTTTGTGTATTTTAATTTGTTTTGTTTTTGTCAGCTTCAATTAAGTTTAACGATGCTCTTCAGTATTTGAAAATGAAGTCTCTTGTTTACTTCCTTATATCACTACTACAGACCCGGAAAAAAGTGACCACAAAAAGTGACCAAAATTGATAGCTTACAGATCAAAAAGCGATCAAAAAGTGTCCAAACAAGTCTGGTCGCTATTTTGTTGGTCCTTTTACCTTAAGGACTAAAGTTGGTCGCTAACTTTGGTCTCTAAGGTAAAATAACCAAATATTTCGGGTAAACAATATACCGACCAACTTTGGTCGATTTAATATTTTAATAATATAAATTTAGCGACCAAAGTTGGTATCTATATTTAAATTACGTTATTTATTTATTTATTATTAATCAAAATATAGCGACCAACTTTGGTCTGTAAACCAAATATTATATTTTAAAATCTGAAAAATGGTGACTAAAGTTGATCGCTTTTTTATTAATTTTTTTAATTTTTTTTAAACATAAGCGACCAAAATTGGTCGCTAATTTCTAGAATTTAATTATTTTTTAAACATAAGAGACCAAAATTGGTTGTTATTTTCCAGATATTATTATTTTTTAATAGAATAGCGACCAAAGTTGGTCACTTTTTGAGAAATCTGGGTTAATTAGTGACCAACCTTGGTTGCTATTTCCCAAAAAATAATTTTTTAAAATAGGAAAGCGACCAACAAGCGGCCAAAGTTGGTCGCTTTTCTAGGTATAATTTTCGCAGAAAATGCCTGTTTTGGCAGCTACACCACCTGTCAGCATACCAAATACATATTACAAGCAACAACAACAACAAAACCAACAACAACACAACAACAACAACAACAACATTAACAACAACATTAAAACCATTAAAGTATAAAGTTCAATAGAACTAACACATTAAGCTAACCAAACTAAGTTAACTCTTATTACAAGCCCATTCGAAAACCAATTCTATTTGTCTAGTTCAAAGTCTATAAAAGTCAATGAGTGTTTTGTACATCATTATCATCACCGTCTGATGAACTTTCATCACCAAGATGGTATCCAGAAGGGTCTACTTATCGAGGACGGGAAGAATGATCACGGGGAGGGCGGAAAGAACGAGCACGGGGAAGACGAGCCTCTGGCGATGACACGCGAGACCGGGGAATCGCAAAACCTCTAGAAGCTATGAGAGATTTGAGTTGCTCTTGCATGCCCTGACACTGAGCTTGCATGCCAATGTACTGAGCATCTCTAAGCTTTTCTCTCCCGCTTTTAGCTCGGATGTGAGCTTTGTCACAGTCTCCCGCATAGCGGAGAGGCTCTCCCCATCAAGTTGTTCGGCTTGCGAGGAAGTCCCTATTTGCTACATTCCACACTTATAGCGATTGAATTTCTTAGTAGGAAGCCCGTATACCTTCCCTCATTTTGGACTGCTTGCAGCCTCCGTCCACATTCTTTCAGTATCTTCGTCCGAAGGTTAGATTGACTCGCCCGACTCATTAGGTGGCTGACTGCATATGAATTCCTCCACTTCAGCTGTAAACCGAACCTATAAGAAAAATTACATTGAATTAGTATTTCAAAATTTATATAAAAAGTAAATCAAAATACTTAATGAAAAGTGAAAACTTACATGTACAGTCGAGGCTCGGCCCTCGACCAACCTTTCTTGATCCGTCTCTTTCTTCTTCTTTACAATATGAGTCTCCTTGAATAGCTTATCTTGGTTCATCGGACTCCCCAACTTCTTTTCCTGAAAACTCATAAATTTTAGTTAATAAACAAAATAGATATACTTTGAAAATTAAAATAAATTAAGCAATTGCGTATCATTCTTCTTTTTATTGTCCCTATGCTGATCGCACCTCCAGTGTGCAAGGATCCTCCCTTTTCAGATGTGCGAGCTTTCTTTCCTTTTTCGCTCTTCTCTAAGAACTTTGCGGTAAGCAATTGCCTTTGCAAATCCTCCCATAAATTCTAAAACAACCAGTCAGGCTTCTGATTCAACTTTCTAGCTTTGGAGAAAGTATGCGACAACCGCTTGCGAGCTTTGAGATGAAAATTTGCATCCACTTCTGCGCTATAGCGATGTTCCCATACACACTTACTCTGTATTTTAAAAGTTAAATATTATATGGAAATATCATAAATATAAATAAGTATACTGCTTAAAAGAACATTTATACCTTAAATTGATTGAAAATTTGCTCCTTCAGAGAGAATGGGAATTCACTCCAAGTCGCATAAGGGCCATCATAAAGCTTTTTGGTTGCTTTGGTGATTATCCTCGTAGTAATATTACTCGGGATGAACCTGCAATTTAATTAAAAAAACACATTACTATCTTAGTAAAAACTGTACAAAACAATAAATGTAACAATAACAAATAACTCTTACCCATCACCCTTAGAGACTATGATGATCCTGCCATAATGATCATAATGCACCTGCTCGTCATCATCAACATCACCGTCTGAGGTATGTATATCAGAGGCATGTGTGCAAGGTGTAGGGGGTCAGAGCTAGTATCTCGCAGGCGAAGTCCTGAAATAGATGGAGTCCCTGATAAAGATGGTTGTGATCCTTGTGACTACGACATAGCTGGATGGACCGCAAGTGGGTGTGATACTATTGTTGTGACCCGAGTGGCTGTAACACTGATGGTTGTGATCCATGTGGATGTGACATGGATCGATGTGATCCATGCGATACATATGGCTGTGATCTACGTGGTCATAAGGCATGTCGACTGTATGTCGAACGTATAGTCCTATGGCCCAGTGACGAAAGACCTGGTGTCTGCACGAATGTGTAGGGCTTGTGATGCTGTGGCAGCTCAGAATAGCCCTGGGGTGGAGGCAAAGACATAGGCATAGGCACCTC